GTGCCGCTGGGGCCCTCCAAGCAGTCGAGAGTGCGCGGAGATAAAAAGAAGCCAGCGAGCGAGTGGCGGCGAGAAAGCGCGCGAGGAGCTTGCACACCTGTCCGCTCGAGCGTTTGGCGTCGCTGCGATCGCGAGCGCGCACACACTCTCTCTCTCTCTCTCGGCTCGCGGCGCCTGTAGCCCAAGCCCTATAGCCGCGGCATTGTTGCATCGACGCCCGTCTCAGAAAGTAGCCGCTCGTCGCGCGTTCTCCCTTCCTTCCTGTCTCTGCCTCGCGCAGTCTCTAGAGCCGGCGATAACGAGTGATCGAAACCAGTGACAACGTGCTAGCAATAACGGACGTAAGCGACGAGATCGTCAGTGAGTGATTCGCGAGCGATAGCAGTGGCCCAGTTCCGAGATCGGCCAGCTCAGCGGGGATTATCCGCTTGACACGGTGCCCAGACGAATTAGCGAAGCCGCGAAAATGCGCGTGAGCGCGGGAGTGCATCGCCGTTCTCAGCCCCAGCAGCCGCTACCGGCGCCGTTGCAATAGCTGCGCAGTGCGCGACTGGATCTCGCCTCGTACCGCCCAGCGCATTTTCTTCGCACGGCCGAGACATGAAGCACGACAAGCCCAGGAGACAGGCCCTCTTCCAGATCGCCAAGGTTCGATACATGCTCCTATTTTCCAGACTGCGTCGTTTCTCTCGAACCGCTGGACCGCCGTTTCCTCGCTTACTCCACTCGCTCCACTCGAGCTTGTACAGTTAGCTCGCGCGTGGCTCCTATTCTTCTCGGCTACCGCTCCACTCTCTCTCTCTCGGCTCTTTCGAAAGTAGGCACCGCAAACTCCCATCGTCGCTGAACACCCATTAGCTGCGCTAAATTGGTTTCCCCCCTTTCCAACCGAATCAACGCCATTTTCGCCAACAGCCTCTGCGCTATCTTCGCACAACCGCAACACTACTCTCTGTCTACTCGAATCAGAGGAGCAGCGTGTGCGAGCACTGCAAAGTCCCGCTCCCACGACTTCCTTAATGAGCAACGAATGCACAGTCGAGTAGTCTCCGACGAAGACCGTAGCTTTTCACATTTCGGGACATTTGGGCGTGAAACAGTTCAGCCACGATAAGCCCCACCGAGAGAAAGCTCTTTCCGTCTAAAGCTACGTTATACTTTGGCATTTTATAATAGCCGCATTCCACTGTGCTATGCAGCGCGCGTGAAACCGGCAATGCGCATAACGTGCTACTTTTTTCCGCAACTTCCTTCGTTGCTCGCGACGAGCACGACCACGCTGACGGAACTCGTCGAGTTACTTTCAATTCTACGAGCCGATGCGCTCGCGAAAGATCGGTCGATCGATCACGCGAGTAAAGTCGAGCTAAGTGCCGGCGGGCAGGGATGCCAGAGGCAACGATAAGATAATTAAGCGGCCGGCTCGCGCCTGCCGAGAGTGAGTTTGTAGCGTCGATGGGCGCGGCACCGAAGCCCACTCGAGGTGTTTTTCACGATGTCCACCGATTCGCGATTTCCGCGCTCGCGCACATTGGTTGTCGCAGCTGCTCGCGACGCGCGTTACAAAGTACGAATGAAGTACGAACTCCACTCGAAATGCCATCCTCTAATTGCGGCGGGCGCTCGCCCGTCTTGCATATAATTTATTACCCGGGCAAGCGGCCTTGGCGTCTTATCGTGGGAGCCGGTGAAAACAGCCGGTGAATCAGTTTCAATTGTGCAAACTGAAGTACGCGCCGCTCGTCAACCCATTGGGCGCGTGGACTAACAATCGAGCGTGCAACATTGCCGCGGTCGTAACGCGAGCGTCGATCGCGTCGATTCGTTATTTAGAGAAGGAATTGCGCAGCCACGTGCGGATATTGCGGAAGCTAGCCTCGTTCGCGTCGCCGGCTGCATCGCGCGCGCGCGCGAGTCGAAGGTTGCGAGCTTGAAGTTCGCGCCGAGAAGCGGAGAGGATATCTCGAGAAGAACAGCGCTTCCCGACGCACAACGTAAGGTGCATAACGCTTTGATCGCGACTGCATGCCAACCAATTGAGAGAGAGAGAGAGAGAGAGAGAGAGAGAGAGAGAGAGAGAGAAGCCCCCGCTGCCGATGGTAGATGGTAACGCTATCCGGCTGGCTGCGAGCACGCGTGTGCGTGTGCGCGTGCAGCAAAGCTTCGCGTCAGCCATATCGTTGGGAAGCCACATGCGCACACGTGCCAATGAGTCTGCAGCCGCCTCGACACCACTCACAAGTCAGACCGGCCCAGTCAGACCGGCCTCTCATTAGAATACAAATTCTGCCTCGTACACCGTGCAGCAGTTTGTTCCTAGCTACTTCGCAGGCTTGCCGTTACTTCATTCTATTCGAGACAGAAGTCAATATCATCAGCGCCACTAGCTGCACTCCGGCGCGGCAGCCTCTTAATTGAACTAACAGTAGTATTTGTCGTGCGATCCGCCTCGCCGGCAAGCCTACACGCGTGCAGCGCAAGCTTTGATCAGATGGGAATTAGCATTTGAATGAGCGATCTCACAGAGCTGTTGTACTACAATCGCGAGCGTAGCGCGCTTGCCACTCGTTCGGCTCACCCGTCAACGCAGCGCTGCCGATTTGCCGCGCGCGAAGCCGTCTGCTGCGCCTCGTGTCGGCCGGCGGACGCGCGGCTTTCTCCTCTGCTTTTCGCGCGCCAATGGTCCTCTGCAGGCGCGATCGCTTGCGTGCCCCGAGTGCCGAACTCTCGCGCTTCTGCAATTTGAATTGGCGAGACGCGCCCCGGATACCCAGTTACGGCTGCGTGACGACGGACAACCACAATGTCGTCATTTTCTTTTTTCCCTTGTTTCCTGCAGCGCCGAGTCTGCTCTTCAAGGGCTGCAGCCTCGCAGCCTTCGCACTCTCGCGCGTTCAAATTATCGCCGCTTCTGTCGTTGCTGCGTTTTTTCACTGCACTCGGCTCCGCCTGTTTGTTCAGCAATCTTCCTCTTCATTAGAGCTCGGCTTTGATCTTTCACGGATCGGCGCTCGCTAGCGGCGTCGACTTTTTGCCCGTGGCAAATTGCACGGCCGCCGAGCGACGCGGCGAGGCTGGCCGGGCTACTCGGTCAATTTTCGATTGTGTTCGATTCGAGGATAGTTCCGACGTCGACAGCTCGGCGCGAGACAGTCGAGAGCGACTTTATTACGCAACTGCGACTGTAATCGAGCGATGCAGCGCTCGAACGGCTTGCGTTGTACGCCTGAAAAACTGCTGCGGCAAGGAAGCACCGAAAGGAAAATGCGGCCGGCAGATCGCGACGGAGTAGAGGGGCGGACAATGAAAGCGCGGCGAAGCGCGACAAGTATTAGTCAACTGCGGGCCATGGGCAGATGCGTGCGCGCGTGTACAGGCGTAGGCAGCGGCCCACTCGTCAGTGCGCGAGTGCATCGTGCGCCCACGGCACAGGTTGCTCTTATCGAAGTATTATATCGGCCGAACGCGCGCGCACGGGGAGGAAGGGACCGTACGGCGGCAGCTTGCCTGCTTGTCCATACGAGCCTGTTGCACCTGCTCGCTCCCACGAGTCCACCTGACTGCCCCTGCTCTCGGCCCCTTCTTCGCGCGTCCGCGCTATTCAGGCGGCCGGCGTGCTGACGCCCAAATCACGACCCCTCCGTGTTATGACGCGCGCACTCGGTGCCGGTAGAGGCTCCCCGCGTTTCTTTCGGCGATCGCTCTGAGCTTGTTGAGCAATTTAGGGCCTCCCATTATTGCCGTACGGACCTCTTCGCACTTTTCTCGACTGTTTCCGAAAATCTCCCGAAAATCTCCAAGCCGACATTGTATCCGTTCGTTCGTTAGACCAGCCGTTTCCGATGATCGAATGAGAGGATTACGAAATGCGAAACTATGCGGAAACTGCGATTTACTTAGTCTCGTCCGGCTGCAGAGTATAACGCACAGGATGTATATTCCGCGACATATTTCGCTTGACAATGCGCGCACTCTATTATCGCGCGATGTTTGCCAAGCGCTAATTGCAATGTCGCCGCCGACTTGTCGTTCGTGTTGAAATGGCCAGAACGGCGTCGTGGGGGCTTGCGCAACGCGTACATCGCGCGTTCCTTGCGAGCTTTCTTGATCGATACCGCGGCTGCAGGCAGCAGCGGAAATCGAACCCGGCCTACTTCCCGCCAGCCATTTCTCAATTAAGCGCGCACGCGGCATGCGCGTACGCTTGCGTATCGACTCGAGTGCCCAACCCGGCACCAGCGAGACTCGTTACGAGCTCTCGAGCGAGGCTGGGCTGAGAGCAGCCGTGCACCTGCAGCTCCACGCGACTCGATGAAAACGCACGTGCGTTACTCGGACGCATTCCAATGAGCTCGTTACTCCCCCCCCCCCCCCGTGCCGCTCTTGCGCTCTCGACTATGCCAATCGACGATTTGCTCCGACACCTCGCTAATTCACTTCTCGTTTTTTTCTATTCCCGCCGTTGGCGCTCGCTCGCGCTCTCCTCTGTCGCAGCCGGACGCGGCTTCCGTTGCCGGCAGCCTTCGGAATAGCAGGCGCGTACCAACCGAATACGGAACACGCCGGCAAAAAACAAACGCAACGCCAGGATTAAGAGAAGAAAATGCAGAGCGACGCGTCCCACGTTACACAGTTTAGGATGGGATACCTTGTGGGCGCGCAATGGCCCTTTTTCGATGATCTGCAATGAGCGTCAGCGTTTGCCAGTGTCAGGAGTGCGTTCGGCTCGCGCCTATGCGTCCGCGCGCACGGACTGTTACACCTTGACTCGGCGATGTATCGATCGTGATGACGCTATGCCCTTCGTACTGGTTACCACAAAAACGCTGAGAAACATTACGTGGAAACGCGGGCGCGCAGTGACCGATTGATAGAGGTGACCTTCTAGGCGCGTCAACCGCTCTTACCTGTAGCGATTAATACGCGCCGGCGCGCCGCATTAATAATTGCTCTAACGCATAAAAAAATGCTGCAATAATGTGTTTTCACTTGTGTTACAGGTTCTTTGGCATCTCGACATATTCCGGCGGAGTTTCCGAGAGCTGTCCGGGCACGCTTGCATGCGCGAGTCCTGCATCTTCTGCGCCCTGAAGGTGAGCAAATCGCGGCGTCTAGAAATCGTACGCTTGCGGGTAGAGTCGATCGTTGCGGGCATTGTCGCCGGCTTGCGTAAGCAAGGCCTGCTTCCAACGGCGATCTTCGTTTCGGCTCGTGCGGCAATCGGAGCTTTCGCAACCTCGCCGCGGCACGTCCGACGAATAAGAAAAACAATCCCCGTGATCATTACGCGATGCTCACCGGATTGCGCGTGAGAGCCGAATCTCACGCGTGGGAATCGCGGGAAGCGCGCGATACGCGGCACGTCGTTACCAATCAATAAAATAATCTGTTTGATTCGACGCGAGATGCATCCCGTATACAGCATCCCGCGAGACAATAATCGACGCTGGGGTCGTGGCTCTCTCGTTGGCCTCGCTGAACCGTCGTACACTCGGTCCACTCTTGGCAGTCTCCTTCCTCGCTAGAGGATACGTCACGTTCGTACGGAAGACGACTCTGATTGAAATCGAAGGGGCACGCGTGATTCGACGGTCAATCGCAAAGCCGAGAGAAAGCTGGGCCACGTAGAACAGCTGGGCCGAAGGGGTTCGGCGATAAAGCGTAAGAAGGGCCGCTGGAGTCGAGTCGCGAGTCGACTCGAGTTGCGGAGTCGCGAGCAGGCAGGCTAACGGGGTCCGTGGACCGCGAGAGTTGCCTTTCTCCTGGCGGTGTGCGATTGGCCGAGGCGAAGGTTCCCGCGTGCGGCTTGCTGCGCTGTATCGGCGATTGGCTCCGGGCACAGACAGACGCTATATTATACGTCGCGGCATGGCGAGAGAAAGACAACTCGCGCTTGTGCGCGCGTGCGTGCGCTCAATCTTGGCTTGCTCCTTTTGCTGCCTTTTGCCGCCTTTTGCTGCCTTTTGCCGCCTTTTGCCGCCTTTTGCCGCCTTTTGCCGCCTTTTGCCGGCCGCGCTCTCGGTTGTCGTGCCGAGGGTTCGCTTCGTCGTCGATAGTTTTCTCCAGCGATATCACGCTCTCTACGGTCGTTTTACCGACTGGTTCTGTTCCAACGCGCTGCCAATGACGTAACGAGCGATCGCTAGGAGGGAAAGTGCGAGGCTCGCGCGGGAGCAGGAAAAACCGATTGGTCATTTAACGCTCGTCGGAAGGACACCGCGGCCGGGAAGCGCGCGAACGAAATGAGCTCTCACACGTGTACTCCGAGCCCCGCAAAGCCTCGCAAGCGGAACGTTGAAAGTAGGCATAGCGAGCGCCGCCTGCCTTTGGATTTCCTCGGCAGTCGGCCGGGACTGTGTTTTCACACGGGGTTAATTAGTGGCAGCCGCGCAAACGCCATGGGAATCTTGCCGCAGCGCTGCTCCTCCTTCGGCGCTGCATCAACGCCGAGAATGATATCTGACTCGCGGCAGTTTTGCGCGCGTCGGCGAGAGCAGCGCCGATGCCGTTCCAGTGGTTCCGTCGCAATTCGGCTGGCGTGCGCTAACCGGCGACGAACATAACGAACAATAGCTACAAAACGGCCTCTGTTCTCGGCTCTCGATAACGGCCCGATTCTCCCAGCTTAACTGTTACTCGAGGCAGCCCGAGATGGTTGTCGCGCGCGCTCGGTACAGCCGGCCGGGACACAGTCGTCGCCGAGCAAAGAGTAGCGGCCAGCACGGACACCTCCACGCGGATAGGAAGCGGAAGCGGAAGTGACACTCGAGCGCGATAACGACAAGCGACGAAGGAACGAGACAGCGCTACGAGTGGACGCAGCGCCCGCCTTCACCGGGATGCCTCGAATGGAAATCGGCCGCGACGCAGCGCTTCCGAAGCGTCTTTTATCCGGCGCGAGCTGCCAACGCCAATAGCGACTTCTGGCGTCCGTTGCGTGCGCGTACTCGCGGTCGCGGCAACCGAGATGCGCTCGAGCCTTTTCCTTTGCCCCGCGGACCTCGCGGGGTTCGCGGACCCTCTCGCGGGGCTTTCGTGGACAGCCTCGCGGCGGAGAACCACTGAGAGCTATAGGATGTGCCGTCAGGACAGCGACGCCGCAGCAGCCGCGCGCGGTACACAAGCAGAGCGTAGAAAGACGAAAGTTGGAATAATCGCTCGGCCCCATCGCATCTTTTCCAAGTCGGAAAAGTGCTTCTCCTCGAATACTCGACGATAAATGTGTATTTCGTTATTCTTTCTGTTTTTCTCTCGAGCTACCAACGTTATTACGTAAGCGACGTAATGCATCAACAAGTATATCGAGCGTTGCTTCAAAGAACGGGACCATTTCCTCGATGCGAGAGTACAATCTTACCCTTTAGAAATAGTCAGAACAGGCGCTGCGTTCGCTGTTCAGCTGTCCTAAAATTGTTCAAATCCTAAACCAATGGCAAAAAGTGAAAAGCACACTGGAGAAGAGGGCGAGAGGAAAAAGCCGCGGGAAAGCTGGCGCATAAACAGCGGCGCGGCGCGGGCTTGCCTGGTTCCTCGAAAGGCACACTTGTTTCTCTCCGTGCGGAGGTTTTTTTTTCTTCTCTCTGGGGAGATGAACACAAGCGATGATCGACAGGGGTCCGAGAGGGCTCACGCTGCGAGTCCTAAGCCGAGCGTCCCAAATAATTGGGAAGCTCTGCCGTAAATGTAGGCAAGGGCCCCCTCGCGCAACACGGCTTTACCTTGCCTACCTGTTGTTGCCTCTCAAAGGATCAGGACTAGGAGAGAAGAAACGCTGGACAAAAAAATATCCCTACTCTGTAGCAGGTGTACTACGTGCTCGTACCATACACTTGCAATTTTTACGAAGCTCTTTGCTTCATTCCAATTATAACGACTTTCCTCCCGGAAAACCTGACTTTTTTTCAGTCTGCATTGAAAATAACTTGAAATGCCAAGCGAAAAATCAAATGTAATGTATTTCTATCGAGTGTTCAAAATAAAACTATTAACGAGAAGCCAAGATAGCAATCATTGGTAGTAACACGTCTTTCGAAAAATCTATGTCACTATAATGGTATTAAATGTAAAAGAGTTGAGGTGACGCGGCTTTACTAGGCTGAAAGTATATCATTACAAAAAAGTAGGCGTTGGAATATGAGGTTGGGAGGGAGGGGGGAGGGGCACGAATGGAGAAGAAAAAGAAAAGAAAGAAACAGGTTTTGTATCGCCCAAAGCCTTAAGTCACCGGCCGAAGTGAGTCCCAGGAGAAAAATTAGAAGCGGTACGCGCTAGAAAAATGCGTTTTCCAAGTCGGAAAACGTGCCGTTCGCGAGCGATGCGACTAGAATATCTCGAGGTAGGTGCATAAGATGAAGCGCGCACGTATTCACTGGCTGTACGTACGTATATTCTCGCGGCGTCTTTCTTGGCATCTCTCAGCCATGCGCTTGGCGGGCTTTTGTCTCGCAGTTCTCGCAACTGGACGCGAGCAGCTTTCTGCGGTTCTATGTGATGTCGAAAAAAACGAAAAAAAGAAAAAGTGCCCAATTTTCCTGACGGACAAGACGATTGAGAAGAGCGTGACCAAGTCAGCTAAAAATCTTTTTTATTTATCGTACATTCTCCTTGGAAATGTCAAGAACCTTTCCGCAAGCATCACGTTAAATGAGTTTTCGAATGAGCTTTGCGTAGAAACGAGCGGAAGCTCGTAATTGAAGAAACAATTGTGGGCTTCTGATGGTATTAATACGATTAGAAGGCGCTAAGGCCAAGGTAGTGTTGCAGTGGTGGTGCGGGAAATGAGACGTCGACGTGATTGCAGAAGGCTACACGGAGACGGCTTAAGGTTATCTGGCAAACGATGTCGTATCGAGACAACGTCCGAGCCCGATAATTTAAGAGGAGGAATCCCGAACCCACCCTGAAAAATGCGCGGGAGATGCGCTCCTCCAGCCAGCAGCTCCGACTCTGACTCACCGATCCGGACGTGCGCGCGCTGTCTGCATTCCCGAGGCACATAGTTTGCTCGAGATCAACGCTCAGCGATCTGCTCTTGACTCACGCCCGCCCTCGATGGAATGCGAGCTCCTCGCTCGTTCGCAGCCCTTCCTCGGTGCCCAGCGGATTCGGCAGCTTGCTTTCCCGACACCAACGTCCTCGTAATCGTACGTGACTCGAAATTAGTTACACAACGGTTACTCAACTGCGAGGCAGCGTCGTAGCGATACACGAGTGGTCGGCGCTCGTGCGTGGACCAGCGCTGTCGGAATATAATTAGGTCGCGACTGAGCGCATCTGGGACGGAATCAAAAGTGGACTCCGGTCCAAGCAGCAGTACCGTTACTCGAGCTTTCGGTTCGAGGCTGAGCGCTAACGGCCGATTTCCAACGCGCGATACACCTGCCACGCGCTCTGCAGTCCTGCAGCCGATCGAGCGTACCTCGTTCACTTTCACCGCGCTAGCAGTACGTCTAGGCACGGCGAGGCGGATATTTCGCGGGCTTATTTTGTAATGGGCCAAGCGCTCGTTTGCATGCCAGTCGACGCTCGGCTCCTCGGCAGAGGGGCAAGCCGACGACGCACGCTGCCCAGCCATCCAGGCAGGCTCGATCTTATTGAAAACGCGCGGGTATGGAGGAGCACAGCACGCGCACCGCTAGAGCAAACAAGCGGCCCGTAATGGGATCGCGCAGTGTGCAGCACGCGCCGCGCTACAGATAACGATGCGTGGCTGGGATGTGTCTTTGTCCGCGAGGCCTGCGCGCCTGACTAAAAGTACCTGTAGGCAGCGCTTCCGCCCCGACCGACTTCCAAACACGGCAATCTTTATGACGCGGATAAGGCTCTCTCTTGGTGTTTATCGAGCGCACACAGAGCAGCGCTAGCGAGCAGTTGCGCAACTCGATCGGCGCTCGCCAGCAGCCGGATAGCCGTGCTGGAGACGAAAATTCGGCGATCGACGCGGGCTGGGCTGCTGCCGTACTCGCGGAGCCTGACTCGCGAGAAGTGAAAATCCGCGGGTACGGCAGATACGAGAGAGGAGAGAGAGAGAGAAAGAGAGAAGAGGAGAGAAGGCCCGGCGCACTATCTGGACGGTGGAGGGGCCCACTCGACTCAATACCTACCTGGCTAGCGCTCTCGCAGCCGAAGAGAGCGAGAGAGAGGGAGTGGGGGTGGCTGTTTGGTGAGCTGTTCTGGTTGCTGCCGCTGCCTGGCGTAGCTCCCTCTCTCTCTCTCTCTCTCTCTCTCTCTCTCTCTCTCTCTCTCTCTCTCTCTCTCTCTTTGGCGCACAGGTATACACAGACGGACACCAACACACTGACAGTGCAGGCCGACAACCACGGGGGACAGACGTGCTAGCGTTCGCTCCGCTTTTCCACTCGTCCAGTGACTTCCAGTGCAGTGGCGCTCGGCAGCTCGCTGCCTCCTTCCCAGCGGTTTTTCTCGCGCGCGCGCGCGCGCGTGGAGTGCGCGGTGCGCGTGTGTGAGCGTGCAGTGCAGCTGAGTTTATCCGGGTGAGCTCTGGCGGATCGAGGTCAAGGGCCTCTGCCGCGCGCTCGACATGGCTTATCGACGGGGGAGATGAGACGACGCTGAGCCGCTCCTCGCCAGCAGCATGCTCAAGTGGATGAAGGTGCGCCAGGAGGCCGGGCCCGCTGGCCTCGCGTCACCGCTGCACTCGGCCCAGCCCAGCCGGCACCGCCACCAGAAGCAGCCACATCACGACGACGAGAACGACAGCGGCATGGAGAGGGAGGCGGAGTCGCCCGCCGCCGCCGACTACCTGCGCGCGCTCAAACAAGTACGACGTCTTAGCTGTCGCGCGCACCTGCGCGCCCGTCCCTTCCTCTCTTTCCCAGCTTCTCTTTCCGAGCTCTCGGCGGGACCCAGTGCCGTGCGTTCGAAATGGAGATGGCGGTGGATTGCGCGCGACTGCGGAAAAATGCGCTCGAGAGGAGAGCGGATGGCCCGCGGAGAAAGCAAAGAAGCGCCGAGCGCTTCTCTTCGCAGTCTTCGTCTGGTCGTTTTCCCTTTCGAATCCGCCGACCGAAAGCGCATCGTCTCCCTCTCTCGCGATCTACGTGACATCAGCTCGCGAACGCGCGACGCTCGCTCCGTCAATCCCAGGCTGCATACTTGAACGTCGCGTCGTCGCTTATCGGATAATCGACGGATAGCCGCGCGAGCGCGCCGTCGTGCTCCATAGTCGGCATTCGTCGACCGACGTTCAAAGCCAAATTTATGCGCCGAGAGAGGCTCTGCGCGCGGATCGCGCCAAACCCAAGCCAAGATACGGCAATCGTTCAACTCTCCCGGGATTTGCCGATTGCCCTTTGGCTCGTGCCGCTAATCCGCTCAAAGTGGACGTCTATGGATCTTTGCCTGCAAGGATAAGCTCCGCTCTGAGCGTGCCAACTTATGCTACAATGGACCGGCACCCCGGCCGATGATCGATCAACGGCGTGTTGCGTACACGTGCACTCGACTCGCGCGTGATATTTGTGAAAGTAACGTGCTCGTCGACACTTTTCGCAAAGTCTTGTCGCGAAGGAGAGAGCAGCCGAGTTTTCAGTTGCTAGGAACTTGACCGATTCGGGCCGAGCGCTGCGGCGCGCCAGCATTGTGGGCGGCACGCTCGTTCTCCTTTGTGCAGCATTCGAGCCAGGAGCCGATCCGCGCAATCGGAGCAGCGCCGTGGCGTTGCGACAGGCACCTTTCTCATTGCACAGCCGCTACACCGAAGACCTTCGGATCGGTCGAGCAAACGCTTCCTGGGCGCCGTAACGAGAAGCACGCGGATCGGAGCAATTGCACTTGTCGCTGGCATTATCCAACGCGGGCATCGCGATGGCGCTTGCGAGCTCGACTGTGAAAAAGCTTCGAGCCATGGTCGATTTCAGCGCGAGATTAGAAAATGCCACTCCGAGGGCATCGTGAAAAGCGATACCGCGACACTCGCGCGTACACGCACGCGAGCGCTTCTTGCAAAACCATCCTCTGCTAAGCTCTTCTGCATAAATTGGTGGCCGCGCGATTCTATAAGGTGCCGATCTCTCTGCAGTTGCATCTTGTCCTCGCCGTTTATAATCGCTTTCTTTCCAGTTGCTACTGTCGACTGAAAGTCAGCTTGCGTCAGTGTATTTTTTTTCTCTTCCTCTCGCCGTGTACACTGTTGCCCAACCCGAACTAAATCATTTTTTTTCCAAGTACTTTGCGTTCGCGTGCGACTTGCGATCGTCGATTAAATTCATTTTTTTTCCTTCCTTAACAGTTGATCGGTTATCGCGAAACAGACCGGTTTTTTCATTTACTTTTTTTCATTTCGACTGTCAGAATTCCAATTGACTATAATTATTGAGTTTCATAAAAGAATACATTAATTTAAGAATGGTAAGCCTTACTTGCTTACATAGCGCTTTTGTTGCCTCAGATCGCTCGAAAATGCCGAGAAAAAGTATCGGCGGAAATATCGAATATATTATTTTCCAACAGAATAAAATAAAATGAGGTATGTAGCAGAGAAACAAAGAATTTCGTGAGTTTTCAAGAACGTGAACGTCCAAGTTTGCCGAAGAGATCAAGATCTCTCTCGTTCTCTCTCTTTCTTTCTCTTGTCGGATCACTCCCGTGATCTGACTACGTGCCCGAGCGTTCTTTCTGCTTCTCTCGCTTGCGCTTCTCTTTTCGCGCCAAAACTCGTGGAGCGAGCATCGCATTTGATGCTGCACCCAGACAAATGCCCATAACTCTCGCGCGAGAGTCCTGAAACGAACATTTATTACGACGAAAATACAAAATATACGAGCTGCTCTCGCTCTCGCCTTTTGACGTTAATTCTTTTCATCGATGCCAATTCTGGTGATAAATGCAATATTCAGCAAGTTAATGGATACGCGTGCGCGCGGTGATCGAGCAATTGTTATTGTGGTTATTATTACTTTAAGAACTGTGAACTTCACGCGAAACGCTGCAGAGGTACACTAAGTCTTGGTTCTCTATAGTCATTAGCACGTAGACTTAGCACCTGCGCAACTTTTGGAAGGCTATGGGAAAAACCTTTCCACGTACATCCTCACTTGACCTACAGATCGAGGTGGAATCCGAACCACCGGAATCGCGGTAATAAACATGAAAATTTGTCATTTAAAAATTTTCACATGCACAGGGCTCGAGTTAACAGTATGTTACACAAAAGTCTGAGCTCTTAAAGAAAGAACAAATAATAATAATGCCACGTTAAGGCAGAAACATACGTACAGAAGAGATGCGTTACGTATACCATATCGGTGTTTACTGTGTACGCAAGCAGCGCTCGTAATTTTCTTCCCTTTACGCAAGTATCGAAGAATTTCGTACAAGGCTGACGTGCATCTTGTTAGTCTCGCTGTCATGGATTGCCGCTTGCTTTTCTAGCTGTTTTACGCGTGCATTCTTGCGGGTATCGACTACTCGATTGGCAGCCACAATGGCGAGGCTCCGTTGTTCAAGGGATTATGACATGACACTTTCTGGCGGCTATTCAGTACACTCGATACCAGCCATCATCGATTCGCGTCTTCTCTTATCGGGGTCCCTATCGGGAGTTGACGCTCTCTTTCTCTCTTGATTTTTATGCCAATTAGATGATCCGCCCGATTGATCGATATAACCGAAAAAAACAAAAAAAAAAAAAAAAAAACAGACTGCTGAGTAAGAAAGTCTGTGGAGTAGGACGTATTTCACATATCGCAGTGTAGCCAGAGGGTCGGGCATCAAATGTGTACGCATACAAAAGTGGTTCGCATGCGAGGATAGGTTGTCGAGGACCGCGCGCCAACCCCATTGTAAGCGGAAGCAGCTTGTTGTGAGTTCGCGGACATTTGTAAGGGACATTTAATCGCTGGACCCGAATGGGCCTCGACAATGGACGCGCGACCCCAGAGATCAGCGGTTCGAATAAAAGCAAGGAATGTTTTGATGTTTCAGGACCTGTTCTCGCAGCTGCAATTCTCGCAAGAGAGCGCCCTGCCGCCGGACGCCTTGCGCCGCGCTCTCGCCGAGAGCTTCCTCGACCAGCAGCGATTTCAGCTTGGATTTATGGATGACGCCGCGGAATGCTTCGTAAGTTGCACACTCGAGCTGGTTTTCAGTTGCCGACTGCAGCGCTCGCTTGCATCGTGCTCGTCGTCAATGCCATTCTCATTCGGCAGGAAAACATTCTGCTGCGCATTCACCTCCACATCGCGAGTGGCGAGGCGGAGGATATGTGCAGTGCCAGACACTGCGTGCCACATCAAAAGTTTGCCATGACCCTCGTAGAGCAAAGTGTATGCGGAGCTTGCGGAGCTACTTCTGAACCGCTGCCCTTCACGCAGGTATTTTGTGTTCTGCCTCTTACTTCCAGTTTCCTCGTCGCCCTGCTGGCGAATCAGGTGCGAACAATCTCACGGGCTTGCCGGAATTGGCCCCGTTTATCGCGTCAGCTTCGCTGGACATCGCGATCAACTTCCGCTTTCGCTTCGTCATCGAAAAGAAAATACCGCAACTTGACAATTTATGTTTAGGTTTTTATGCCGAGCACGACTCAGCTGCGACTCGCGTTACTCGAGTCATAACAACAACGCCAAACAATACGTGCATGACGCGTCGATCGTTGATATTACAAGTGCACATGCCGTTGCTGTTTTAACAACCGTTTGTGGTTTCGGTCAAAAAATACGTTCGATAACGAGCTATCAATAAGCGAGCTCCGATCGCGACCTCGTCTAGAGTCTGCAGTAGGTAAAGCGAGGCTATTTCCCATGGGTTCAAATCCACCGATTGAGCTGATATTGAGCTGATGATCCGAACAAACAAGGTCCGGCGCGATAGACGTCAGGTTTTCGGGGGCAAGAAACCACCGTTCGGAAGAACGAGTGTAACACCTTGCACTTCACGTTTTCCCACGTCCGAGTTGGAGAGCTAACTTGAGCGCTCGTGGGAGTAGCAGCGCCGAGGCAAATTTCACCTGAAATCGTCATAAAGCCCAAAGGCCCACGGCTATAATACAAGCGAACAAGGGAGGGAAGGTCAACCGGAGGAGAGAATGAATGATCTTTGTGTGCGCGCTCACGATGCCTTCGGGAAAACGTGCAGGTGATGCGACCTTCGTGCCGGCGTTTCATGGCCTACGGGCAGTCGCTTCGTTTGAGCCGAGCGATTTTGGTCCCAGGCCACGTGGGAAAATCGTGAGACCCGCGTGCGCGCCAAAACCAAGACGACTAATCGGACGCTTCTCCCGCCAGGTGCAATGGCATTTAGTGAAAGTTTACGAAGAGAGGCGTTAAAATAATCGCACGTCGTAAAAAATAAGGCGATCGGACAAACGACAAGCGTCATAAATTAATGGAAATATTGAAAACAATGCGCGCGGCTGGTGCAAGAGCGTCCAGGTACGTCGAGGAAATATGTAGCTGCAGACTAGGTGAGTAAGTGTAAAAGTGAGGTATTGCAAAGCGACGGCAAACGAGAAACGGAAAAAAGCGCGTGCGGCAATATTAGTCGCGTTGTACAGGAGGCGGCGTCGGCTCGTGCTCTCGTATGGATATACGCGCGCGTACCAGCATGGGCGTAGTCCGGAGAAAGAGAGAGAGAGAGTGTGGGTGCAGCGGCAAAACGCGCGGCGAGCCAGATCTAGTGCGGTCACGGCCGCCGATAGGCTTTTCAGCTCCGCGTACGCGACACGTACGACGCGTCGCCTTTGCGCGCGCGATCTTTCGGCTGGCCGACCGATTTCCGCGAGACGAGCCCTCCTCTTTCTCGAGTTCGCCAGCGGCGGGTGCGCCTTATCGGATCGCTAGCCGACAGCGAGTCGATCGTTGCGCCATCGTTCGATTTTGTCTAGCGCGGAACAACAGAACAAAGGGAGTAGGTCGCTCGCAAATGCACACGTTGCGCCGGCGATCCCTATAAATTATCGTTACAGCTGTGTCGCAACACCTATGCTCCGAGCAATGCTCATTGTCCGGATACGGCAGGAGCCGCGCGCGCGCGCGCTCGCTCGCTTTACCCGGAGAGCGAAAAACTGGCCGAGCCGCCCGGCTGACGA